TGCACTGTATAAAACAAACACCCAAAATCGAACCTAGAAAAAAAAGTCCTACTTGAGATGAAGAGTTTAATGTGCTATCTTATGGTGTCTATGAGAGAACTGTATAAAATATTTGTTTTATTGGTCTATGTAAGTTTATTATTTTTACTGTATTAGGACGTAGAAAGATTTTTTAGGTGTGAACATAGTAGAGGTGTTATTTCAGCAAACTGACAAACCCTATGACCTTAAGCTGGGGGACTGCTTTATTTTAACCCAGTCAAAGACACAGAGCGTGTGGATATTTTACTAATGCAAAAGCCAGACTCACTCTTTCCAATTTTCTTTTCTTTTAACGCTTCTTTTGATTTTATTTAGTGTCTTTTCCCTTCTTTCTGTTTTGAATTCATTTATTGGCTGATTTTTCTTTATCTCTTCCTTTTCTTTTCTATTCATATTTCCCTTTTTTTTTATTAAGGTCTTAGCGAGGCAGACCACACCACAAACACAAACCTTCAGTACATAGATTCATAGGAAACATACACAGCACAAAATGTTTTCAGTGTCAAGTCTTTAAAATAAGCTTTTTATATGAGCTGCTTTGTATTAATGACAGACACCAGCTAATTTTCTGTGTCTGGGACATTAGTCCACTGCAGATGTCTGCCCTGTGGAGCAGGCATGACCTTTAACCTCACCTTTCTTCTAGAAATTATGTTTCTTTGAAAAGAAAATAATAAAAATGAAGTGCCTTTATGTGTTTTTTCAGATGTTTTTTAACAGAAATCTTTTACTGCATTTGATGGCGAAATGTCTTGCCAGGTTGCAAAGCTGCTATTAAACAGCCGTGGGATTTTTTTTCACTCTCTTTCTGATTTTTTTTCTCTCGGACATTTAAACTGAAGAGTTGATTAAAAACTATGTATTTTTAATTTGTACATGAATAAATATCTTCTGAATATCCATATAATGTATTAAAAGTCTTGAAATAAATCAGAGATGGTGATGTTTATACACATTTATCTATGCTGTGTTGTCTACATTAAATATCGGTGCTTCTTAACTGGGTTGTGACCAAAAAAGGGTTGTCTGTCGCAGACAGAAAAGAATAAACAATGTTTAATACAATTGATGGAATCTGACACACCATAGAACAACATTACATCACCGTAAATAATAGAAAATAATAGTTTGAGATAAGTAGATTTACAGTAAATTGTTCTGTTCCCACAATGATTCCATAGAAATCATGTCCTTTGTCTCACCTGTTTATCTTGAGCCATGATCTTGTGTTGAGAAGTAAGGTAATTTATGATTCACATCAATTGTTTCTCAAGGAGAAACCAATGGCACAAACTTAACTAATAGCTTTGATATCAAAAGGGCTGTAAAGACTTATTATTTTACAGTTCTCTGGAATACTGCATTCAGGTTGTTAAATCGAGCCATCCACAGGTCTGCTGATATTTCCCACATATTCTTAATATTTCCCGCAGTCCATGACAACGTATCGAAGACCGTTCATCCGGGTAAGTGAAACCGACAGTACTTTCATACCGCGGATTGTATCACACTGCGGATTGTATTAAAAATACTGAAGGGAGCTTTTAAAACTTAAAGGGTTAGTTCACCCAAAAATGAAAATTCTGTCATTAATTACTCACCCTCATGTCGCTCCAAACCCGTAAGACCGTTCATCTTCAGAACACAAATTAAGATATTTTTGATGAAATCTAAGAGCTCTCTGACCCAGCATAGAGAGCAACACAACTGAAATGTTCCCAGTCTCAGGTGTATTCACAGGAAAGTCCGCTAGTTCACTTGCTTTGGTCCGGACCAAATACAATGTTGATTTTATTTTATTATTTTATTTTTTTTGGTGCGGTTCGCTTTCACTCTGCCCTTTTTTGCAAGTGAACCAGAAATTGTAAACAAAACCACATAAGTGGAAACAAATTAAATACGCCGTAATTTTTGCTCATAAAGGTAAGAATAATACATCGTTCTGAACTGAAAAGGGTCTATTTTATTTGTGTGCACTCACAATATCAAGAAAACGTTGTGCTTTTGTAAAATAAAGAAAACAAATAGGATGCGCTTGCTTCAATGATGAGATGGCGAGTCAGGATCATCAACGTCATTGTGACACTGACTCATAAAACACTCGTTTATTAATAAATAATTCAAATATCTCCTTACTATTTTCCCCCAACATAGTCATGGTAATTTTTGCGCAAGCTTTTTCGAGCGCTCACGTCACGTTGCTGTGCGCCATGGTCTCATCATTTGCATGTGTTTTTAAGCATTGTGGTTTAAAAACAAGTGATTTAAGCCATTGAAACGCAAATAACAGGAATATATGTGCGAGCTGTCTGTTTCTGAGCGTGATTTCCGCAATTGGGTCGATCGAGGTCGGGTCATATTCACACCTTAAA